TCCAACAGATACAGGCAGGATTCCCACTCTGCTCCCACGCTCTACCTGGCCAGCAAGAGCAGGATTGACATCCCCATCCCCGAGGACTTCACTCATGCCTTCGTGCAGATCCGGGTGACAGGGCCAGGGGGGGATGGAACCCCAGCAGAAGTTCACATCCTCAGAAACAGTGGTATGTGTGCCCCTCTGCCCACCCCATCCCATGCACACACACCCTCTGATCCCACTCTGCTCCCACGCTCTACCTGGCCAGCAAGAGCAGGATTGACATCCCCATCCCCGAGGACTTCACTCATGCCTTCGTGCAGATCCGGGTGACAGGGCCAGGGGGGGATGGAACCCCAGCAGAAGTTCACATCCTCAGAAACAGTGGTATGTGTGCCCCTCTGCCCACCCCATCCCATGCACACACACCCTCTGATAGGAGCTCCACAGAGCACAGGGGCTACGAGGAGCTCACTGCAGGACAACCTGCCTGTCCTTCCCCACCAGTGGAAATTTAGATTAGATATCAGGAAGTTTTTCCTGTGAGGGTGCTGAGACACTGGCATAGGTTACCCAGAGCAGCTTTGGCTGCCCCAACCCTGGCAGTGTTCAAAGCCAGGTTGGACAGGCCTTGGAGCAATCTGGGCCAGTGGAAGATGTACCTGCTCATGGCAGAAGGTGGAACTGGGTGATCTTTAAGCTCCATCCAACCCTGGAACTCCAGACTTCCTCCTTTCCATCCCCCATCAAACCTCTTCCCTGACTCTGACCAACCTGCCAGTCCTGAATCCTTCAATATTTGCAGCTAAAACCCTTGAGGCCTCACAACCACCAAACTTACTAAGTTTTCCACCAAGAGGAAAGTTCTGACTGTCTGTGGAGCCCCAACACAGCTCCAGCAGGTTCCCCTCATGCAGAGGTTGAGGACTCAGGGCCCAGCTCCAAATTCTCCTTGTTAGGATGTTTATCAGTGCCAACCTCAACCTGAGCACAAATTTTATCAGTGCCAACCTCAACCTGAGCACAAAGAACCTCAAACCCAACTCCTTCCTCAAGTTCTCTCTGTGTCTGTGCAGCAGTAACAGCTGCTCCCTCCCTGTTCCCTTTCCTCCAGGGACAAGTATGATGGTGGAAGACTCAGTGACAAGACCAGTGCCACATGTTGTCATCATCACCACCAACTCCCTGGTGCTGGTGGCCCTGCTGAGCTACCTGGAGCTCTGACAATGGTCAAGGTGGCACAGGACTCCAGACACAACTCCTCCCGAGCCACTGGGAAAGGACACAACATTTGGCTGCTGCAACTGCCACTTTGGATCTCAGCAGCTCTGCAGAGAGAGGATTTGGTGTTGTTTGAAGGGAGAAAGGAAGAAGCAGCTCTGTTGGGTTGGAGGAGCTCACACCAGATGTGGGTCTTTAACTGATTCTCATTTTTTAAGGAACCAAGTGACATGAAGAATTCTCCAGGAATTCTGCAGCCAACTGCCCCCACTGCCCCCAGTAGGTTCTCTGCCTTATGAAGCCATGTATGAAATAACCGGACTGCTCAATCTGACTTTGTTTTTTAACTCTGTACAGTGAATTTTGGGGGGGGGGGGGAAAAAAAAAAAATTCAGTGATCAGCATGTTCCATACAGTCACAGCATCTCTGGGGAACTATGGCACAGCATCTCTTTTTTCCCTCCACAACATGAGCCAAATTCTGCAGGAAGAAGCCCAAGGAGACAAAGCCACAAGAGGATTGATCTCTGCCCCATCCTGAAGCTTTTCCTGACACTGATGTTCACTTACAACAGTTTGTTGTATCAGCTCTTCTGCTCTGAGGTGCAGCTTCATGTTAGCCACATCCACATGTTTTTGGGGTGGGTTTGTTAGCCTCTTTGCTTCTTTCCTTTCTGTCTGGGGGGAAAAGGGAAGGGAAAAGGGAAAAGGCATTTTCCAGCATCCTTAATCAGAAAGGCAACTCTGCCTGAAGAATGGAGATGTCAATAAATCCAGTTTGAGTAGGTTAAAGGAGGAAGAGAAAGAATATCACAGCATTGAAACAGGAACTGGAGACTCAAGGAAACCATCACTGGGGCAGCAAGGGAAATGTGACTCATTCACCTCCTGACACAGAGTTCATCCAGCCAAAATGCCAAGCTGAGATCCAGCCAAGGAGTCAGGCTGCTTTCCAGGCCTGGGGCTCACACAGCTGATGTCCATGTCCATCCCAAAGAAGTCCAGGGATGCTGAGGGGCACCACTCACTCCAAAGGTTGGGAAAAGGGATGTTGAGGTGCATCACTCACTAAACTGGTTTGGAATACATGTTCATATTAAAATCTGTCTCCCAGTAAAGCAGTTGACCAAAGTTAATGACAGTTGATTTACTGGATGGATCCCAAGTGTGTTTTTAGGGATCTTTAGCTGTACTTTCCTCCTTCCCAGGGAACAACAATGCCAGGTTGTTGAACTCCAGCATGGAGGTCTCAGCCAGCCCCACAAGAAGCTCAAGGGGTTGGTTTGCTTTGCTGCAGAGGTTGAGCAATCTGGTTTTACTCAGCTAAGCCTCAACAGCAGCAGGACTCACTCAGCTGCCTCTGCCTTATCACCTCCTTCCTCCTGGTGCTAATGCCATTAGCAAATCTCCTCCCTCCCTCCCTCCCACAATCTGTCTGGCTGCAGCACTCCAACTGCTTCCTCAGGCTTAGACCATCAGCAGAAGTTGGTGCCACAAGAATTCCTCCCCCTGGATAAGCTCTGGGAAGAGGGAGCACACAGGGTGTGCAGCAATGAATCTCTGCCATCCACCCTCTCCTCCAGGTGAGGGTGAAAAGTTGCCCATGGAGTGGGAAAAAGAAGTTTGGGCATCATGTTACCAATTGAGAGAAGAGACAGAGAGAGACACTTCTTTCTGTAGCTCAGCCAGACCTGGTGGGAAGGACAGGGACAGTAAGAAAAGATGCATATGGCAGGAAGAGATGAAGAGATGCTGGTTGAAGGATTCTTTTCTGACCTCCCTGTACCTCCAACCTCTCCTCTTCTCTCTTTGTGCCCCTTTTCCTCAGCTCAGGCTGCTCTCCCTTCACCCCCAGCACAGCTGCTAAGCTAAACATCCCTCAATATCCTTCACATTGCTTCAAAACCCAAAAAGCATCCAAGGAAAGAGCCCCAAAGTGGCTCAATCCCCTCCTTTTCCCCAGCTGGAGCCACCCGGCCCAGCCCAGCCGAAGAGCCATTAAATATAGATATTTATCTTCCCTTTGAGGCGTCTGAGCCCCCCCAGGAAAAATAGACACAATGAAAAGATGAAGGAGCCTCTTGGCTGCACTCTGACCTCCTCAGCTAAGCAGAGGGCAAATATCACCTGGCTCAGGGTGATGTCACAGCTGCCCCAGGATTCATTTCCATGACAAAGAGCACAGGGTCCTGCAGATGGGACAGCTCTGAGCTCCTCTCAGCTCCCACACCAGGCTCAGCTCCACAGAGATCTCCACTCAAACCCAGGGAGACAACCCCAAATCCACAGGTATTGTCCTCACAGACTCATTCCCCACCTCACTGCACAGAGACATTTGGCTCACTGCATTTTTCACCTGATATTTGGGTATAGGATTCTCTGCAAATAAAGTTCATTCCCTCCACATGCAACTCTATATTTAAATCATTTTTGTGGTCTTCTGGTAGGAAGCAAAGCTAAGAGTTTGCCTCAATCTTTAACATTAGAGTTGTAGCATTATTTTCCCTGGAATTTGCTGTGCATTCTTGCAGTTCACAGGGAAAAGGGACACAGTAAACAGAGTTGCTTACTGTAAAATGAGAGAGGAAAACCAGGAATTTAACAGGTCCCTGTGTGGCTTCTGCCACCAAGGGGGAAGGAACACCCTTGCAGAGCTGCTGGGTGGTTTATTCCTGTTAATCACCAGGAGAAATAAATGATCCACAACCCACTGAGCTCTTCCCTTCCTCCCCCTCTAAAGCTTTTAGGAATGAGCTCAGCTCTGAGTCAGGATGAAACACACTCAGTTATGTTCCTAAGCAGCAGAGCTGGAACTGAAGATGTTGTGCTGCTCACTGCTCCCTGCTCTGCACCACACAGGGAACAGGGCATGATCCCAGCTCTCCCTGAGGCTTTCCAGGCTCTGATGGAAGGAGATGGATCTCCTGAGGAAGGAGGCAGTGGTGGTTCACCCCTTGTCCCTGTGAGCAGCCCCTTGGCTGTGAGGGAAGGACACAGATGTCAAACCTGTCTGGTTTTCCTTCTCCCTTTGGGAAGGATGTCAGGAGAGCAGGCAGAGCACCAAGGGTAAAATCAAGAGGAGAACAGGAAGAGCTGTGAGGTGTCCTCATCCCACCTGGATCATTCCAGACCTCCCTTGGAGACAAACTGCCTTGTCCCAACTGCCTGCACTGCCCCACTGAGGCTCAGGTTTCCAGTCCTGGATAACTCCCCAGAAAGTCAGAAAATCTTTGGCAATTTGTCAGCCAGGAATGAAGGACAGAACTAATCAAAGCCACAATCAACTGTGTCAACCAGAAAATCAGTTACAATCCCCCCAAATCACTTCTAGAATCATGGAATGTCCTGAGGAGGAAGAGACACCCAAGGATCCAAGTCCCATCCTGACCCTGCACACTCTCAGACTCAGGATGTCCCAGAGGAGAGGGAGAGCCCTGAGCTCTGTGTGACACAGGGACCACTGCCAGGGGATCTGACCCCGAATCCCACCAGGAATTACTGCCTTGATGCAACAGACACAGACAGGAATTGCATGAATCAATTCATTTCTCTGCTCTTCTCCTCCTCAGGAGCCTCCACAGGCAGGAGAGCAGGAGGCTCACCAGGACCCCCAAAATCACTCCACTCCCAACTCCCCAAACTACTTCATAGAACAATTCCTTCTCCTGAAAGTGCTGCTTCTCCTCCTCCTCCTTCTGAGTGCCATTTCCTGTGCCTCCTTCCTTCCCTTTGGCTGTCAACTTCTGCTCCCGAGTCAAGGCCTTCTCAAAGTTGAGGTCCACCAGGTCACCTGGGATCACTCTGAGCCCAAAGTAGATCCTCTTGATGAGCCTGAAATCCTCCAGCACCTGCACATCGCAGCGATAGGTCCCTGCATCTGCCTCCCTGACCGGGGAGAAGCTGAGGGCAGGGCTGGGGTTGGAGAAGGGCTTGAACAGGACATCGTTGGTGGTGACGAGGCCTCTGGCCACTCTCCAGGTGTAGCCATAGGTGTGGTTCCCAAAGCTGACAGCATCAGAGGTGAAGCAGTTGAGCTGGATGTGTTGGCCCACGAGGGTTGTGAGGTGCTGCAAGCCACACACCCACTGGGTCAGGCAGGAGGAGCGACGTGAGGAGCAGTTCCTCCTCTCCCCAGCTGAAGTAATCTCACACAGCACCTCCACCTTGAAGCCCAAGCCACAGGTGACACTGCAGGATGTGGTGTTGATAACGACGTTGGCCACAGCTGCCTGGAGCTCTGTAGGCATGGTAATTCCTTCCACGGCCAGCACTGCTGGCACACACAGCAGGAGCATCAGGATGGGGCTGAGCTGCAGGGGCTTCATCTCAGCACCTCAACCACACTAAATTCAGTGCTCAAAACCCTTCAGAGTCTTCCAACTCCGTGTTCCTCAGCACTGCCTTCAGGGTCTGATCCTCCCAGGCAAATCCTTCCAGCCAAACCTTTACACTAGGAAAAATCCTCCAGGCTGAGAGGCTTGAAATGCACCACAGCTAAAAAAAGATACACCACCACATTACTACTGGATTCGTCAGGATGGGAATGAGGAATTCCAGTTGATGGAGCAGCAGAGCAGAGTGTTCAATCCATCCTGTTCTATCCTAGCCATTCTGGCCAATCCATTCTATTCTAGCAACTTGGATATATTTGGCAATGAAAATTCTTTCTTCTCTGCAAGACTTTCTATACTATTCTGGATGGATTTCCACTGTAAGGTTCATTTCCCCCCCTAAACCATCAAACTATACAAATAATTACTAGTGGAATCTTTCGGTGCAGCTGAGCACCCAAATTCCTCATGCAGGACCTCCCCAGTTCCACTTACACACATACCTCAAGGTCTAAAGCACTTCCCAAAGGGAAAACAAGATTTCAGCCTCTAGTGTGATCCACTGCAATCCAAGGCAAGCTGGGCAGAGTTTGGGCTCTGGTGACATCCAGCTCCAGGCAGGGGAATAACATTCCCAGGGCAGCAGTGCTGATGTCACAATAGGCTGTTAGGTCACAATCATTCCAAGAGGCAACCAAGACCTCCCCTAAGAGATGAGGACTCTGAAAGCATCCTGAGAGGCTCCTGACCCACTCTCAGGATTCAGGAGGGACTCAGCAGTCCCATGGCATCATCTCCCAGGGGGGGTGAGAGAGCCCAGAGGGATCTGAGCCACCACCTCCAACTGATGCATGGCAGAATCCACTCACACACAGCTGGAGAAGAACCTTAAAGCTCATCTCATCCCAACCCCTGCCACGGGCAGGGACACCTCCCACCAGCCCAGATTGCTCCAAGCCCCGTCCAGCCTGGCCTGGAACACTCCCAGGGACAGAGCAGCCACAGCTTCTCTGGGCAACCTGTGCCAGAGCCTCAGCACCTCCCAGGGAACAATTCCTTCCCAATATCCCACCTGTCCCTGCCCTCTGGCAGTGGGAAGCCATTCCCTTTGTTCTATCACTCCATCTCTCATCTCTGCAGCTCTCCTGGAGCCACTTCAGGCACTGGAAGGGGCTCTAAGGTCTCCCCAAAGGCTTTGGTTACACTAGAGATTTATTCCTCTCTCTGCAACAGAGATCATCAACCAAGCACCACCTTGAAACCCCCAAACACCAACCTGAAACCCCCAACCACCACCCTGAACACCCCAAACCCCCAGAGCAGTTGTGCTTTGTGCCTACACCAGGCTGTGCTGTCACAATCCCAACTATTACCACCAAACCATCCTCACTGTGTGCAAAAGCCAAGACTTACCCCTGGGGTTAGGAAATGCAAGTCACCTCTTTATTTACAAACACAAACCCAACAGCACTGCTAGGCACTACCACCAGAGCAGGATCTGACCAATATAGTACAAACCTACCAGAAAATAAACTTAAGAGGGGCAAGAAAATAAACCCAAGACATTTACACTGTACAGAGGAGTTTTAACCAGATGTAAAGGCTGAGCCTGGGGCAAAGCAAATGCTTTAAACCAACCCAGAGGACAATTTCCTGTGCAGTTTTAAAGCTTAGGGAAGGTCAGGCACAGCACACACAGTTGGATTTGACATGACAATGTTCCAGGTACGTCATCCCAACAAGCAGGAAGAACAAAGCAAACTGATGTTGTCCTCATGGGAATGAATGTGATGAAACAAAGCAAAGCTGGAAAGGAAAACAGGAGTTTTTAACACCTGATTTGGAAATGTTTCCTCTCTTGCCATGCTCAGATCTCAGGCAGCTCCTGCACAAGGAACCAACCTCTCTGTGCCTCCCTCCTTGGTGGGAGTGTCTGCAGGATCCTCTGCAAATTCCAACAGGTCATGGTCATCTCAGCAATTACATCTGGGCAAGAACTAGTTGCATAGGAATCCTAAAAGTCCATGAAATAAGGGGAATTAGGGAGGAAATCTTCCCTTTAACAGGATGTGGGTGCAGCACAGAGGTGTGAGGGATAGAGAAAGTGCCTCTGCCCATCCCACAACAGCACAAGGGACACAAGGTTAGAGCATGGCTGGGAAGGAGCTGTTAGCATCCATCATTCTCCCATTTTTAACCCAGAAGTGGGGAAAAAAACCCCCAACAAACCCTTTTGCCAAAGTCCTGTTTGAGTTCAGAGCAATATTAGTTGGCTTTAATCTATCTCCAGTCCCCACCAGCTAGGGAGGGACCAATCACTTCTGCAAGGACATCTCACAGGGAAGAGACAGCACAGAAACACTTGGAAGAACACTGCCAACAGCTCCTGGTGGCACAGGCTGGAAGCAAACACATACACTGAGTACTTTAGCTCCTTTCACTTGCTCCTTTTCCCCAAGCAGAGTCATCCTTCATGCCTAAACCTTCAGCACATGAAGACTCCTCCTGTGCAGCCTCCAGAGGGTGTCTTGATGCTTCCCATGGATCTCCATCCACCTGAGGTGGCCCCAGACCTGCCCAGGGGCAGCACAGCTTTGCACTAAGCAGCACAGCACTGAGCTCCCAGCAGAGCTGCAATGGGAATGACCAGCAGGGAATCCTGTGGCATCAGGAGGGAAAACACACACCCAGGGGGTTCTTCAATCCAGGGATGAAGAAAGGTATTTTAGAAGCCATTTGGGAAGTGGCAGAGGGTTGGGAGCAGCTCCCTTGGGAGCTAGAGACATTGTCACCACACAGACAATCCAGTTAGTCTCTTGGCACCACCTGAGTGTCTCCCACTGTTCCATGGAGAGGCAGGTGAGGAGCAACGGAGGCTGTTTCCTCTTGCACAGTCACTGCTTACAAAAGTCACTCCCTGAATCCATGAGCACCCAGTGTGCCGTGTCAGTCCCCTCTGCCTGAGCATTCCAGCTACTTCCACACAGGGTGCCAAGAGAGGAAAGAGGACAGGAAGGTAAAGAGTGTCTTCATAACAACTCTGAGATTGCACCACCTGCTAAAGAGATCAAAGACAGGGCAGAAATAAGTAACCAGACTCACCCCGAGTCACCAGACAGCAGAGACCACCAAACACAGCAGCTTGGCCAGGAAAATGTGGCAGAGAACAAGATTGGCTAGGTAAAGTCACTCTTCAGACTGAGATCTAATCAACAAGAGACAAATTAACACCTCTGCTAATTGCCTTTCAGATCCCACTGACAGGAATGGGCAAAGTGGCTTAAAATTCTGAGTTGCTACTGCTCAAAGCTGCACCCAAACTTACCTGGTGTGAAATGGATTCACCAACCCCAAAATATCAGAGAAAAAGACAACTGAAACAAGTTCCACCTAAGTTTGGGTGAAACCACATTGCTGTGAGCTTCTGTTTCCTAAACTGATCGAACTGCCCAGTTTGTCTGGGCTGAAAACTGATTTTGACATAGGAATGAGACATTTGTTGTCAGCACAGTGACACAGAGACACCTGTAGCTGCTCCCAGGGCAGGTCCCTGCCAGAGCCTGAGCTGTGGCACAGCCCAAACAGCTCCCAGATCCTTCCTCTGGCACCACTTTAGGAGCTGCTGAGTTACTCCAGCTCCCAGGCCAGGGGAGTTTGGGAGTGTGTGTGGAACAGCCCCAAAGGAAAACTGTCTGCCCAAGGTAGGAGTTAAAGTATAAGCCATAAAGAGAACAAAGGGACAGACATGGATTTTCATGGATTGAAGTATTGCTGTGAGTTTGGAAAGATCCAAGTGATGGTTTCATTCAGTGTATGATCTGCTCCTCTCACAACTCCTGCAGACACTTCAGCACTGAGATCTGCCTGGACCTAGTGGATCCTCTCAAGCCAGCAGTGCTGCAGGAGGAAGCACAGTGACAGGTCCTGATGAGGGACAGAAATCCATCACAGGAATACTGATTGTCATGGAATTCAAGACTAGTTTGGGCTGGAAATGACATTAAAGCATGGGCAGGGACACCTTCCTCCAGCCCAGGTTGCTCCAAGCCCCATCCAACCTGGTTCCTGGAACACTCCCAAGGATGGAGCAACTACAGCTGCTCTGGGAAAACTCTTCCAGTGCCTCAGCACTCTCACAGGGAAGGATTTCTTCCTATTTTATCTCAATCAAGCTAAAAACCACCCTGGAAACACCTTGAAGTGAGCACAGGCAGCAGTGGCTAAGAGCAGAGTTTGGAAAGCTCTCACACCTCCCACAGGAGGCTGAAGGCAGTGAGGAACTTGTTCCTAAAGCCATTTGATGGTGAGAAAAGCACATTTCCATGGGAGTGCCCAAACCCAGAGGTATCCACAGCCCAATCAGCAGGAGAACTCCACTGTTCCTGTTCCACCTCATCACATGGAGTTATAACTCCATGAGAGCACTGACAAGCAAAACCACACAAAATCCTCCCAAATATGCCTTGGCAAGGATGTGTTAAGTCTACAAACAGCAGGAGAGGAGCATGTCTGAAAGTGGCTTCATTTGGAACATGCCAGAGGCAATGGGAATGTTGTTTCCCAGTGCTCAGAGCAGAACAAGCAACAGTGATCACAGGCAGCAAGAGAAAGCAACTCTGAGCTCTGTCTACTAACACACACCAAGGAATTAGTAAAACAAGGTGAGAACAACAATAAACACACCTGGAAAAAAAAAAGCTGAGCTGTTGCTATTAAACTACTTCTCTAAGCACAGAGAACTTCAACATGGAAAATCCCAACATCCAGCACTGGTTTGCTGAAGGAACTGACTGAAATTGGGTTTGGAAGTCACACTGTTCAGTTCCCAGTGCACCCATCCTGGCTCATTTGCACTGCCAGGGTAATTAGCACGTGATTAAAGCAATCACCAGGCTGATGGTTACACTCCCTGGGTCTCCAGAGCAGTCAGAGCAGGTGGATGTGGGGGAGATGCCACCAGAGGATCCACACAACCCAGGTCATCCCTCCAGGCTTTAAACCATGCTGGATGTCCTCTCAGGACTTGGAGGCCCAGGAGAATCACCCTGTCAGGCCTCAGCACCTCCCAGGCCACAGCCAAGGGGGGTTTGGGCTGTTAATCCCTGGACTTTGCCAGGTGCAGGATTCCCTGAAAGCCCAGAAAACATCCACCACGTTTTTCCATGTTTCCCTGCAAACAATACTGAGTCCCAGGACGAGCAGGAGCTGAGCAGGAAGGAGCAAGGTGGGCAGCACAGGGCCAGCAGTGAGGGAAGGAAGGGGCAATAAATCACTTCTCAACAGTCTAAACCCACAGCAGCAGCTGCTGAGCTCAAGGAAGTGCAAAATTTGAGGTACCAAATCCACTGTGTCTTTCTTTGTGTCTCAACCCAAATATTGCAGCGCTTGCACTTTTCCAGGTTCCAATTTTGCCTCTCCTTGCCAGCAGCTAAACACTGAGGGAGCAAATGCCATTTGGGAAGCTCAAAATGCCTTCTAGAAGTCAGGGGGCTGCACAAAGCAAGGCCACCAAGCAAGCCAAGGACACTGACAGTGGTTCCTTACCTGGCAAGGGCTGTCCCAGCTCGGCCTGCACTTTACCCTTCGCTGCTCCTTCCAGAGGTAAAGCACCTCTGTCCCCTTTGTAGAGTTTCGGTTTAAATGGAGAATCTTTGTCTTTACCTTTTGATCCTTTAGGCCTGCCTGCTTGCTTCTTCTTGGATTTACCATCTCCCTTCACCCCCAGCAGCGGATGGACCTCTGCAAGAGACAAAAGGCAAGGCAAGGTCAGGGGGGAGCACACACAGCCCTTGGGGGAGGCACAGACAGTGTGGGAATTGGCCTTGCAGGGAGGAAAGGGCTCCAAGGGAGTTGAGAGGGACTTGGGGCAAGGGATGGAGTGATGGGACAAGAGGGAATGGCTTTCACACACAGCTGACAAATGGAGAGGAGGGTTAGAAGGGCCTCAAGAGCCTCCAAGAGAGTTGAGGACTTTGGACAAGGGATGGAGTGATGGGACCAGGGGGAATGGCTTCACACTAATGGAGAGGAGGGTTAGATTGGATATTGGGAAGGAATCCTTCCCTGGGAGGTGCTGAGGCACTGGAATGGATTTCCCAGAGCAGCTGTGGCTGCTCCATCCTTGGGAGTGTTCCAGGCCAGGTTGGATGGGGCTTGGAGCACCCTGGGCTGGTGGAAGGTTTCCCTGCCCATGGCAGGGGGTGGAACTAGGTGATCTTTAAAGTTCCTTCCAAGCCAAACCATTCTGGGATTCCATGAACAATTCCTATTCCAGGATTCCTTCCTCACTCCAAGCTGGCAAAGCAGCAGCACATTTGCAGAGTTGGTGGCTATTAATAACTGCTGTAAGAAGTGACTTCAAAGGAAGGAGGAAATGAAGGCACAACTGAACTCCTGGTGATCAGACCAAGCTAAAGCCTCTGAGAGGGAGAACAGGCACCAGGAGAAGAGCAGCTCCCACACACCATCGTTAGGGACTCCTTGGAGTTCTATGTTGGTGGTTTTGGGCTTCTTCTTTGGTGCCTGAGGTCCATCAGAGGAGGATTGTCTCTTCTTCTCAGAGCCCAGGCCCTCATCAGTCAGAGAGCTCTGGACAGCATCTGGGGGAGGTCCATAGGGGTTTTCCTCTGGATCTTCCACTTCAGGAGCAATGGGCAAGTACAGCAGAGCCTTGGAGTCCTCCAGTTCCTCATCACTGGGAAGGGAAACAATGTGATGTCATTTTAAAAGGTTGTGATTATGTTATTAGATGCTATCCAGGGAATATCAGTGATGGATTTGGTGTTCATGCTCTGAGCAAGAGGTTCCTCACCTGCTGCAGAAGGCTGCAATGGGATCCACACTCGTCACATCCACTTCTTCATCCTCTGCAGCATCAGCACCTGAGACCCAGAGGAGGAAAAAAAAAGACATTAAAGATAGCAAAGAGAAGAGCAAATCACTTAGAATGTATTGGACTGACTCTGCTTAAATGTCTGAGCAAGGAAAAGGGAGAACTAAAGGAGAAAACTAACCTAAAGTGTTTCCTCTTGAGTTAAATCCAAGCAGGAAACAAACCTCAACTACTTGAGGGATGGAGCAACTACAGCTGCTCTAGGAAACCTATTCCAGTAATTGCTCTTGAGTTAAACTAAAGCAAAAACCAAACCTGAGCTATTTGCTCTCCAATCCACCAGGTTTGTATCCTATTTCCCTGTTCTAACACAGACCCATCAATATAAACCACCAGCAACAAAGGTAGAGGAAAGACTTTAAACCTTTTCACTGTTTTGTTGTCATCCCTGAACCACGAAATTATTTCAATGCTCAGTTCCCACAGGGCAAAGTTACACCTGACTATGGAAACTGCTAAACAACCATTGATTTAGGGAGGAGAAGAGCTGCCAAGGCTGGGAATGAGGAGAGCTGGGAATGATCCAGCAGCTTTGCATATTCCATGACTTTTGGGCACCACCAAGTGGCTGCTCTGGACTGCACTGGTCACCCAGAGCACGAGCAGCTCCTGCTGTACCTGTCTGCTCTGGTTCACTCTTGTCTTCATCCTCGATGTCAAACTCTGACTCTCTCTCCTCATACTCCACGTTCTCATCCAGCTCCTTGAAGTCAGGGGCAAAGGCACTCCAGTTCTCCTACAGCACAGAGGGCAAAGGGGCTTGGTTTGACCTTCCACAAAGGCACAGCAGCTTTAGATTCCTTTAGATTCCTTCCTCAATGAGGATTCCTTCAACTACAACACAACTGGAGGGATAACAGTCACCTGGATGTGGCACTGGGGGACATGGAGGCCTTGGCAGTGCCTGGGGATGGTTGGACTTGATGATCTTAGAGGTCTTTTCCAACCTCAATGATTCTACAGTCTCATTCTGTACATTAAAATCCCCCAAGACACACCAACACCAGCAAAAATCAAACCTCCCTGAGGTCCACAGTCCCACAAAACATTAGGGACTGCACATTAGTTCCTGCT